GGGAGCAAGCTTGCTAGATGTGCAGTGGGTGCCCTAGCGTCTTCAACCCCAGTGTGCACACTGGGACTGCTCTCATATGTAACCACCAGTGAAAACAGGAAATGATGAAGCAGAATTTGTCCAGCCTCTGCATTGAGCGCCTTTTCTTTCTCTTTTTGTCATTTCTCACTAGGTACGGACACGTGCACTTGTCTGCGCCCTCAGACACCCAGTTCCACTGGCTTTGGACTTATTCGGGGTTCACAATGCCGCCTCCCGCAGACATCGTCAAGGTGGCCATAGAATGGCCAGGCGCCTACCCCAAACTGATGGAAATCGACCAGGTTAGTAGTAATGAGAGCAGTCGAGGGGGTGTATTTTCCGTTCCTTTCTTTACTAGAATCTTCCTAGACTCCCTTCTCTCTCTGGCCGTGTTGAAAACCCTGTGAAAAGGGAGTTTCAGGGTTTTTTGATTTCCACATTAAGTGCAGTGGGCGTGGGTGGAGTTTTTACGATCTAGCATCTACTTGGACTCTGTCAATGTGGAGCTTGTGTCTGTAGCTGTGATGGGGGCTGGAGGGACAAGTGTACTGGGCTTGGGGCCACCCACATAGAGGAGGCTCACCAGGGCCTGCCTTTGTGCCCATGACTGTGTGCCAGCTGTGTCAATGACAGCAGTGCAAAAATTATTCTCTCCATTATTTTTTCCCCTCCCTTTTTGCAAAACGGGCCAAGAATGTACTTTGGTGGTACTTTGGTACCATATTCAGAATGATTTAATGTGATTATTATGGCAGGGCTCAGCCTTGGATCCCAGCCATTGTAATTTTATGAATGTAGAATCCACAATGTATCTAGCATATTATTTGATGGGTGATGACTGAGGGTGTATATGTTTATACATCAACACACAAACAAATCAATGTGTTTGTTTTGTCGTGAGCAGTACAGATGGTTAACGTGCTTGACTGCTAACCGAAAGGAGGGAGGTTTCAAGTTCATTTAGAGGCATCTTGGAAGAAAGGCCTGGTGACCTACTTTTGAAAATCAGCCATTAAAAATCCTCATTAGTCCAGGTCAACTCTGATACTTACAGGGTCACCAAGAGTCAGAATTAACAGCAGCTAGTACAAATATTTATGGAATTTTATAAAATGATCAGAAACATATTTTCTTTGATGTTTGTACCTATAAAGACATCCTTGAATCTGGAGAGTCTCACTCTCTGGCTGTTGGTTATTATTTGATACCAGGGTAATGCCTTATGGTTATTTTTGTCCTTCTGCCACTATAGTTATTCTAGAGCAAATGATTTAAGGGGAAAAGGATTGAGCCCTAACATACACCTGCAAGTTTCACAAAGCATAGAATATAGGAATGTAAATGACTTACTATGTTTTCAAGATAGGGTAGCATAGTATTTCTTTTCTTTTTTTCCCCTTTCTGTTCTAGATAATACTTTGTGATTGTGACTTCAAATTTCTTTTCTTTTTCCTCGTGAGGGTTTTAGTATTTAGTTGAAGATTATTGTTACGTGTTACATAGGATTCATGAATCTAGGAGGAATCATTAAGATAGATGATATAGGTCAAATTACAATTAGTTGAGCTTGAGCTTGATTGTACGAAAGGATACATTTTTAGGGTTCTGTCACAGACGGAAGAGCCTGGTGGCACATGGTTCAGGTGTTGGGCTGGTAGGCACAGGTCAGTGGCTCCAGTTCACCAGCCCGCAGGCAGATGAGGCTGCCAGCTCCTGGGGAGATTTCCAGTCTCAGGAACCCGAAGGAGACGTTTACCTCCACCCTACAGGGTCATTATGAGTCAGAATCAACTCAATGGGTTGGGGTTTGGGTATTGTAAAAGGTATCGCAATTCCCTGTCATTTTTAATTTGAATATCTGAGGTAGAGTTGTATAATCCCAGAAGCAACCCACAGAACTAGAGATGCCCATTTGTGTCTGGATGAAAACATCATTTCTTTTATGTTGTTTGAGGGAAAAAATGCTAGTTGAATTTGCCTAAAAATAATAATAATAATGATAAAGTCTGGACTACTTGGTCTATACTAAATGGAATTAGGACTGTGGTGTGGACAAAATATAGGTAGGCCTAGGGTTAGCTCCACCCAAAGGAACAGTGGCTGCAGCAAGGTAGGATTTCGTCCTCTCCTGCCTGTGGTGAGCCTGGGCTGATGTGATGCCTTATAGTGTCTGCTCTATAAAGATTTACAATTTCAGAAGCCCTACCCGGTAACTAGTAGTTGAAGTCAACTGCATGGCATGCTTTTTATTTTAATAGGTATAATGTACCATGAGAGTTCAAAGAGCTTATGGAAAATTCCATTATCTTTTCATTCTATTTTTCCATTTCCATGAACTTTTGGAAGCCCCCTAGTATAGGAGCCCTGTCACGAAGTAGTTAAAGCACTCACTGATAACCAAAATATCAGTAGTTCAAACCCACCAGTTGCCTTCTGAGAGGAAGATGTGGTCATCAGGCTCCAGAAAGATTTACAGTCTTGACAACCTTTTAAGGCAGTTCGAACACCATACGTTGAGTTTGTTGTGCATGGAAATTGACTCAATGGTGTTGGATTTGGTTGGGTTGGTTCATAGCATATACTGTAATTTCCCTAAACCAGTGGGGAGACTTGGAGGCATTACTGTTCTTTATCCCTAAATACTCAGTGTGTATTCTCTAAGAATGAAACAAGCCTCTTATATAAACACAGTGCAGTTCTAAAAGTTAGGAAAGTTAACATTGCTTCAACACTGTTTCCTAATTCAAAATTCATAGTCCATCTTCAAATTTCACCAGAATTCTCAGTAAGGTCCCTTGCAGCTATGTCTCCAGGAACATTCATGCATTCATTGCCATGCCTCTCTAGTCTCTTTTTATCTGCAACCTTGACATTTTGTTGAGGACTACAAGGCATCTCTTTGTCTGATGTTTCCTTGTGACTGGAATTCTAGGCCTTGTGTTTTGGCAGAAATGCCAGAGAGATGAGGTTGTATCATTGTTGGTTCATCCTATCAGGAGGTGCAAGATGTTACTTTGTCTCATAATTGGTTTATATTATGATTTTATAGGTGAGAATATTAAAGTTCAAAGAAGCTAAGTGCTTTGCACGTCAGCGACAGAACAAGGACACAAAGCCAGGCCTCTCTTACTCCAAAGACTGAACACGTGACTCACTTGTCGTTCTCCCGGGACTCTCACATGGAGACCTGCAGAAAGATTTAGAAACCCAGATACTTGTTCTGAAGCTCATAGGGCTGTGCTGAGACTCACATCAGTGCCAGGGTCAGGTGCTGTTTCTTGACCTAGTAGTAAGATGGCAAGAGAATAAGAAATGTACTCTTGTTGAGCTATAAGGAGTAGAATATTGATTATTACTTGGGTTTTCTCGTAATCACCTACCTTGTTCAGTAAGTATTGTGTAGTCCATGTCTCTCCCATTGCACCTGGGTCACCTCTGTATTAGAAAGTTCTGCTTCCTTTGGATCTAGATAGCTGTGATTATACTGAAAGGTATTTACAGAAGTTGGGTTAGGCCTCTTTTCTCAGTATCTATGCATCACATTGTGTTATCTTTATCCAGAGCAGGAGTGAGAAATGTCTGGCCTGGGGGCTGTGTCAGGTCCAAGACTCCATCAAGGGCAGCCCACGTCACATGCCTCACTAAAGAGAAGCCATCCCAGCCATCACATTGAAAACACCAACTCCAAAAGAAACAAAAGCAATAACCTCACTGCCAAGGAGTCAGATTTGACTCAGGGTGACCTATCGAACAGGGTAGAACC